TCCTCTACATATAAATACATTTTGAATTCTTAAAATACTCATTTCTCATTTATCTCTCAACCTTTCACCTCCTTACTCTCCCTCACTTTTCATCTCCTTACTCTCTCCCTCCATCTTCTTCTTCAAGAAAATTCAGCCCTTTCATAGAAATGAAAAGGGATTCAAGAAACAAAATTTGAAGAATTCATCTTCTTTTAATCAAAGGTAAGAACTTGTTAGTGTTTTGACTTCATTTTATGCACTTTTAATGCCATTTTCTTGTCATTTTCGTACTTTTAAGTTTACAAAGAAGAGGTGTTCTTCATTCTAAGTTCTAAGGGTAGATTTTACACCAAAGACATGAAAAATGCTCTTAATATAGTGAAAATCCGTGACCTAACCATCTAGAACTTTTGAAAAGCAAGAAAAACCCTTCATTTCTTGCATTTTTGTGTTTCTTATGGAATATGAGTTCTCTTTCATTTTTGTTACCAAGAATAGTGTATTTTATATATTCTTACTTTAATATTGAATAGTAGAGTGATCTTCTTCCATAAAATCATCATTTTTGGAAATTGTGATGCATAAAAATCCATTTTAGCATAAAAGAATGACTTTTCTTCTGGAAAAATTCATTGCATGAGGTTGGAACGACCATATCTGGTTGTGTATTGACCCAATAAGCATGAATCTTTTTTATCAACAATATTTAGTGTATTAGTTTTCAAACCCAAGTGGAATCATGAAAAAATATGACCTTATGACCTCACAACACCCAAAACAAATTTGGTGTGCAACAGTGGTCGGTCAGAAATTTTGTGTCTCATTGTTCATCTATAAATCTTAGAAGACACAGAAACTCATGAAATTTTACCTCTGGAGTATAGCTTAAAGTGTTAGCTTTCAAAAGAGTCTAACCCCACCCAAAAATATGGTGATTTAGGGGTTCAACCGATTTTTACAAAATAAGTGTGCAATCTGTCCAGACTTGACAGATTTCCACATGCATGTTTAAATAGCCATAACTCCCAAACTATACATCCAAATATAGTGATTCTTTTTGGAAAAGCTATCCTTATATGTTAGCTTTAAAACGATTCATGAAACAATGGAAAATAATAAGTATAACTCCTGCAAAAGGGTGTAACATTAAGAAGGAGTTTTCTGTTTTGAAAGCTATAATCACTGTAGCGGTAAAATTTGTTTGAGACCCTTCCACTCATCCAATGAAAAGTCCAGATTTCATACGAATCTTGATGTAATCATCATAAAATCCCAAGAACAAAGATGAATGTAAGATAGATTGGAGAGAGAAAATTACTTGGCTGTCAAATCACCTTTTTAGCATTAATGACGTAATCAATTGTGTGTAATTACAATTACAAAGGAAAGACTATTTATACTAAGGAAAATAAAGCTAAACTAATTACAATAAAGCTAAGTAAATGGAGAAACTTGAATATAACATTTTAGCTCTAATCTTGAACCTAACATCCAAAAATCATGATTTTTGGTCATAATGATCCTAACTCAGTATAATAAAACATATAAAAATTTTGGAAAAATATACTTCTTGGATGAGGGTGAACCATGGACCTTACTGAGTCACAAAGATTCTGTCAGCATGCATGATTTCCTAAAACCACTAAAGATTGTACTCTTTAACCATAAACCCTATAATAAGCATATAAAGTGCTTAAAACTTGATTTTTATTCTTAAGAACATAAAGAGGCATTTATAAGACGTAAAGGTAGAATAGTAACCTTAGCCTTTAAGAGTTTGACAACCGTTCTTTTTCTATAGGGATTCACTAAAAGGACTTTACCAAGACATACCATTTGTTCACTCAACCATCTCCTCCGTGAAAGAAAAGGTGAGTATTCACGACCCCTTTTTAAATCCATCGTTATTGGGGGAAAAGCATGTATAAAAGTAGTTGATGTTTGTATGAAATATACAATGTGTTTAAATCATGGATACAAATTGATTATATGAAAAATGCATTGAAATGAAATTGTGMATAYRAGCACTAACACCATGTRYGCTAGTAAAAATTKTGTTTGGGTTAATTAAAAAGTCCCACTTGGTTACACTACTTATTAACTCGTATGAGCCGATGGTTTAATGGATAGCGCTATTTGGATTGACAATCCCACCTTTTACTGACGAGTAGGAGTGCATTTAACTAAAACACGGGTTCTGCACATGTGGTTTAAACACCACCACTGAGGTAGTTCGGTATAAAGGGCGTAGTTGTTGCAGGTTTAGTAGTGGCTCAACACTTAAAAATTACTTGGAGTACATTGTGCCTTGTTAAAAGTGCTACACGTATGAAAGCTGTTGCGAGTAAGTAAAATACTTACTCGAACTAAATATTGCATAAAGATTTGTTGTACATTGAAAACCTGTGAACTCACCAACTCTTGTAGTTGACACTTGTTTAAACGTGCTTTTCAGGGGTAAGAAAGGCACATGGTGGCATTTAAAAGAAGCCGCGTTTCAAACATCACCTTCGAATTTTTTTTTAATTTATAAACTTGTCGTTTTGGGAATGTAAACGCTGGATTGTGATGTAATGAAATTTTAATGTATGGTGGTGTTATTTATACTCTATTGCTATGAGACTCTACCTGCCATACCTCGTGTTTCCGCCCGAAAGAGCATTCCTCCGCCCGTAAGGGTGTCTTTCTCTGCCTCTTCTGGAGTTGGGAGGGAGTCATCCCAGTTGCGTACCCATAGTGTGACGGCCCCATCTACTACCAGGGCCACGTCGAAGCGCTCTCCGGGCATGACCACCTTAGAGAACCTATGGGTTTTGGGCATCGCCCAAGACCTAAAGATGTGTGAACTTAGGTTGCATCATCATCGACACTTTGCCGATGGGGTGATTATGGCTCTAGGCACACAAGACAATGTGATGGATCGTTCGTTGGAGTTGATTAACACTGCTAGGGAGCGAGTAGAAGGTTATATATCTACTTGGCGGTGTTAGCGGGAGTTTTGGTGATGGTGATGGGATTACTTGTTTGGAGTCTAATGCGCTTTGAGACTCTACTTTATTAAGCTTTTGATAGATCGAACATAGAATCTTCTTTTGGGGCATGTAGCCATGACTTGTGAACAATATCTTTCTTTTTGTTGCACGTCTTTATTTTCTTTACGGATGATATGGGTTTTTATTTTGGTTAAATTATGTTGATTAATGATTGAATGCCTTTATTATTACAAGTTATTATATATTGCCATAGAGCCATGTTTAGATGATTGAATTATGCCATGCATAATTCAATAAAGTAGATACAGTGATAAACAGTAAAAATAACCGAACTTTGATTTAAAATTTGTGCGTTAGAAATATGCCTCCAAGAAGAGAAGATCCCGAAATTGCGAGACTTGTGTCCGAGCAAATTTTGGCGGCCCTTCCTAATATAGTTAGCCAAGTAGCAGTAGGCTTGAACGCTAACCAAGCAAACAACCAAGGTACAACAGCAAATAGAGACTGCACGTATAAAGGCTTTAGGGCTTGCAACCCAAAAGAATTTCATGGGACAGAAGGAGCCGTGGGATTACTTGCTTGGATTGAAGGAATGGAGTCCGTCCTTCATATCCGTATATGTGCTGAAGGAAGCAAAGTGGAGTTTGCAGCTTGTTTACTGCAAGGACGAGCATTAACGTGGTGGAATACCCAGATACAAACCCGAGGTCGGGAAGCAACCAACAGACTTACGTGGGAAGAATTCAAGAAATTACTCAAGGAAGAGTACTGTCTGAGGAGCGAGATCCAGAAGTTAGAAGCAGAACTGTGGAATCACAAAATGAAGGGAAGTGATGTAGAGTCATACACTGCTCGCTTTCATAAGCTGGCAAAACTGGTGCCACATTTGGTGTCATCTGAAGAGAACCGAATTGACCGTTATGTCTGGGGTTTAGCTCCAGAAATTTGGGGGAATGTGACTTCGGCCAATCCAAAAACACTTCAGGAAGCTGTGAACTTAGCGACAAAACTCACCAACAATGCTATTCGGTCAGGATCATTTGCAAATGATAAAGTCAAGGGTAAGAGAAGAATGGAGGTGTCCGTGAGAAAGAACTTCAGCGAGAGGGGCGGTAAGGCCCAAAAAGTGATAAAAAACTTTGGGGCTCAGACACAGACAGCAGAAAAGGACAAGGGAGCTTACCCTAGGTGTGACAAGTGCAATAATCACCATGGCGGGAGATGCATCATCTGTCTCAAATCCAACAAAGAAGGTCATTTCGCTAAAGATTGTAGGAACGGAAGGAGACGAACATGCCATGAGTGCGGAAGCCCGGATCACTTTAGGAATGCATACCCGAGACTGAACCGAGGGCCAGTTACTAACCCAGCACGACCAGTCAACCAAGGAAATCAAGGAGGCCAAGCACGAGGTCGAGCGTTTTAGATTGGGGTAGAAGAAGCCAGACAAGACTCTAACGTGGTCACAGGTACATTCCTCCTGCACAATCTTTACGCATCCGTATTATTTGATTCTGGAGCAGATAGGAGCTTCATGTCACTAGAATTTAGACCAAAGATTAGTTTAAAGTCGCAAAAACTGAAAGAAGATTTCGTTATCGAGTTTGCTAATGGACAGGAAGTTAGGACTAGAGACGTAATCACGAATTGTACCTTATGTTTAGCCGAACAAGACTTTAGCATAGACCTTATTCCAATCAGATTAGGAAGCGTTGATGTAGTTGTGGGTATGGATTGGCTATCCAAAAATTGAGCCGAGATATGTTGTTCTGAGATGACCATCCGAATTTTAAAAGGAAGTGAAACGCTCGTGGTGCATAGAGAGAAGTCCCAGAGAAATTTCAAGTTAGTAACATGTATGAAAATGCGGAAATACTTGAAAAAGGAATATGTCACATTTATGGCTCACATTGTGGATAAGGGAATCGAAGAGAAACGCATCCAGGATTTTCCCATAGTTCAGGATTTTCCCGAGGTATTTCCTGATGAGCTGCCAGGATTACCCCCGTTACGGCAAGTCGAATGCCACATTGACTTAATTCTTGGAGCAGCGCCCATAGCCAAATGACCTTATCATTTGGCACCATCAGAAATGAAAGAATTGTCAGAACAACTTAAGGAGCTACTCGACCAAAGATTCATCAGACCCAGCTATTCACCCTGTGGAGCTCCAGTACTATTTGTTAACAAGAAAGACGGATCCCTTTAGATGTGCATCAATTATAGGGAACTCAATAAGCTGACCATCAAGAACCGATATCCCCTTCCCCGAATCGATGACTTGTTCGATCAACTTCAAGGTGCCACTTACTTTTCAAAGATCGATCTTCGATCCGGATACCATCAAATGAGGGTCCGTGTGGTAGATATTCCTAAGACGGCGCTCAGAACTTGTTATGGTCATTATGAATTCTTAGTTATGCCCTTTGGGTTAACTAACGCGCCAGCAGTTTTCATGGATTTAATGAGTAGAGTATGTAGGCCATATTTGGATAAGTTCGTGATTGTATTCATAGATGACATACTGATCTATTCGCAAAACAAGGAGGAGCATGAACAACACTTAAAGTTGATATTTGAGCTGTTAAGGGATGAGAAATTGTATGACAAGTTCTCCAAACGCGAATTTTGGATTCGTGAGGTGCACTTCCTTGGTCATGTGGTAAATGAGAAGGGAATTCATGTTGATCCGGCCAAAGTTGAGGCTATAAAGAAGTGGGAAGCCCCAAGGACCCCGACAGAAATTCGTCAATTTCTCGGTTTAGTAGGTTATTATCGCCGTTTTATTTCAAATTTTTACAAGATCGCACAACCACTAACGGCATTAACCCAGAAGGATAAGGAGTTCATGTGGGGAGAAAAGCAAGAAGAAGCATTCCAATTGCTCAAGCATAATCATGCACCAATCTTAGCGTTACCAGAAGGTACGGAGAATTTTGTGGTATACTGCGATGTGTCACACCAAGGCTTGGGATGTGTGCTGATGCAAAATGACAAGGTCATTGCTTATGCATCAAGGCATCCCCTCATAGAACAATGCTTTGTATGGATTGGAGTGTCATCGGACAATGACTTGTCTAGATACAACACAAGGAACAAACTCAATAACACTTAAAGAATACACTCAATACGAATGAGGCTTTGTTCGGATTAGCTCATCTCCGGACAACCATATGACTGGATAACATATCAAAGATAGTCAAAGGTCAAACTCAGGATTAAAAATACGCAAGAAGCCTTGTCCGGATAGACTAAAGTTCGGACAAGCCATTGATTGGATATTGTTGATCCTCTCTCTCAGTGATTTGATGATAATCCCTTTTTCCCTTTCACGTTGTATTTGTGTTTCTGTATTTTCAGTTCCAACGATCATCACTAAGTATGTTCAGTGATCACTGAAGAACTTGCTTTGTAAATTCATCAAAGACAGCAATACTTCAAGAAGACAACACTCACACCAAAGAACCTTCAGCGAACGTCGAAGACTGAAACTGAAGATTAGAGACTGGCGAGTACGTGATCTGAAGCGGTATTCAGTGATTACAAACCTGTCTACATATGTGTGAA